GAGAGGGCGCTTCGGAGCCAGACAGTTGATAGCCCTGGTTAACTCCACATTCCAGCGGGCCACCAGGGAATCAGCTGAAAGGCCATCAACATGGGATAAAGCATCCCCTACCACTCTCTGGAAACCATTTGGATCCATTAAGTGGCGGGGGCGGACCATCCGAATTGGTCCCACCTCCCTGCAGAGGGGAAGGGTCGCGGAGAAGTCCAGTTGCACCAGGAAGTGATCTGACCATGGCACTTCTTTAGTTTCACTTTTACTTAGTGTCAGATCACCCACGTCACTAGAGGTGAATACCAGATCTAAGGCATGTCCATGACTATGAGTTGGGCCCAACTTATTCAGGGACAGCCCCATGGAGGCCATGCTTTCCACGAAGTCCCGAGCGGCCCCTTGTAAGGTCGTGTCGGCATGGATGTTAAAATCCCCTAGGACAACCAAACTAGGTGTCTCCAGGAGAACATCCGCCACGACCTGAAGCAGCTCGGACAGGGAATCCTTGGTGCAGCGGGGAGGTCGGTACACCAAAAGGAATCCTGTACTGCCCCTATTGCCCAACTTCCAGAACATGCACTCAGAAAACTGGGTCTTCCCAGTAGGACGCCTGATGCAAACTAATGACTTCCTAAAAATCACTGCAACCCCCCCTCCCCGCCCACATGACCTGGGTTGCTGTGCGTAAGAGAAACCTGGTGGGCAAGCGGCAGCAAGGACAGGCCCATCCGCTTCATCCAACCAGGTCTCTGTCACACATGCCAGGTCAAATCCTCCATCCACAATCAGGTCGTGGATGGCAGTGGTTTTATTCATCATTGACCTGGCATTACACAGCAACACCTTCAGGTTATGTGGGTTTCCCCTGTTGATTCCAGTATCCATCCGGTCAAGGCCAGACCCGGAGGCAGGGATAGTCTTCAAACAACGACTAAACCTGCCTCCTCGGTAATGACATGGTCTGGTCTTGGCGTAACTCCGCCTCCTGCCCATGATCACCGAGATCGGATGTCCCAGTGCTTCCCCCCCTGTGGAACTTGTCCCAGCCATCGTGTTGGCTGGGGCCCCACTCCCAGGCAGCCCTGATCCCGCCCCTTAAAAACAAAACACAAACTATACAGAACCAATAAAACAACAGAAAACAAAAACAGAACAATTATACTAAAATTAATCCCCAACCAAATATCCATCCCACCCCCACCCCCAACAAGGGAAAAAGGAAAAAAAAGAAATACAAATTTAAATTGCCACCGACTGCTTGAGGACATTTTAAAACACATTGGAACAGGGAAGCAATTGCAGAACATTTCCCAGCTTCCCCAAAAGTTTGTTCCAAATAAGGGCCTGGGCCACGCCCCCTGGGCCAGTTGGAAAAGGCCCTGGAAGGGAGCAGGCCCTGCAGTCCTCACCCAGCCGATGGTCCGAGGCTTCCCCGCAGCAGGAGTCCCTTTATAGCTGGGAGAAAGTGCCTGGGCCACGCCCCCTGGGCCAGTTGGAAAAGGCCCTGGAAGGGAGCAGGCCCTGCAGTCCTCACCCAGCCGATGGTCTGGGTGTGGCTTCTCTCCTGTCTGTCAAGGGACCTGCAGATGCTGATTGCCTTACTTGGCCAGTTCCTTAGGACTGGTACATACAGTCATACCTCGGGTTACAGATGCTTCAGCTTAAGCATTTTCAGGTTATGGATGCACTGAAACCCAGAAGTACCGGAATGGGTTACTTCCAGGTTTCGGCACTTGTGCATGCGCAGAAGCGCTAAATCACAACCTGTGGGTGCGCAGACGCAGCAATGTGAGTTGCGAACACTGCGGGTTGTGAACGTGCCTCCCACATGGATCACGTTCGCAACCCGAGCGTCCACTGTACCTTGGTTCTCGAACAGAATGCGTTCCGGGAGTCCATTCGACTCCCGGAACCATTTGAAAACCAGAGTGCGGCTTCTGCCAGAGGAGCCCCCTGCAGCCAATCGGAAGCCGCACCGGATGTTCGCCCTCCAAAAATCATTTGAAAACCAGAACACTCACTTCCGGGTTTCGATTGTTCAGAAGCCGATTTGTTTGGGAGCCAAGGTGCTCGGCTTCTCAGGTACAACCGAACCTGAGTCCTTGGGGGTGCCGCCTCCCCGGGCGGGAACGCTGTGGGTGCGCGAGGGAGGAGGGCGGCCCCCGGGGGCTGGGAGAGCCGGGCTGCCGTGGCCGAGAGGGCTGCTCTGCTGGGCGCCGCTGACATTGGAACTTAGAAAACTTCCCGGGGCAGGACCCCGGTATGGGCCCCCCCAATATTTTTTATAAGTCGGCGCCCCTGCACCTGGGGTGTTCTACGGCCCATTGGCCTCCCATCTGGGCTTTCAGGCAGAACCCAACTCCTGGATCCTTTTACCAGGCTATCCTGAATTTGATCCAGGAGCAGCAGAAGGGGCACCCATCCCTCGCACTAGCTTAGGCTAAGGATCCATACCCAATGCGTTTTCCCTGTCAAAAGTTATGTCAGTTGCTATGAGGAAGGCAAACCCTCAGACAGGTGCAATTTGTTTGCAGGCAAAGTTCTCCCTGGCCCCAAATATGGTGACGGATTAATTCCACAGCAAGGCCATAGGCATGCACTGCCCGCGTACCTCCAGGCGGGGCCAATGAATGGGTGGGTGGGACATCTGGTTTTGACGGCACTGCCCATTTGCAGCGCATTCAGCTTTTAAACCCGGCAGCAGACCTGACAGAAGCCTGGCTCTGACAGGTCCGCTGCCCGAGCGAGAGCCCTGATTGGCCTGCAATCGGCACTGTCGGCTGAGAATGGTAGGTGGTCTTTATAAAAGTCAATTGAGCAAAGCTAGGCAGATGGTCTCACTTGCTTCAAAGAGGATGCCACTGGAGCTCTTGCTGTGAAAGCAGACACTTGTGCTGGAACTGCTGCAGCAACTGCAGGAGGGATCAGATCTGGCTGCCCATGTTTCACACCTTAATTTATTTTCAAATGCCTAAAGACTGAATGAATGATCTCTCATGCATAGCCTGTATTACTCCTGGTTGCAAATGTAAAGGCATCCGTGAATGAAATGGTTATAAATAATGAATTATTATTATTATGGTTCCCAGGAAAACATTGCAGTATATGTCACAGACAATTTGAGTAACATATGGCTAGAATCTAAGTAACTGTAATTAAGGTTGCATACATGCAACAGTGCCAGGAAAAGTTTATGTTTTTGATTGTAAGCTGTTTTTAACATTTTGTTTTAGTTGTTGGAACCCAGCCTGGGACCTTAGGGTGAAGGGTGGGTAACAAATTAAACTACTACTACTACTACTACATTTTATCCTAGAATCAATGTAGATTGAATTCTTGGTCCCCCCCCCCCTATGTAGCCCACATTCTATACCTATTGCATATTTTTTGCCCCTGAAAAGCACTTCTTGAAGAACTGGTTTCATTCTGGGGGGAAAATTCATTACAGATCGATTGTGTATAACCTCTCAGTGTGTCTATTTGAAAACAGATGTATGCAGTCACAGCAATGAGGTGTGAGTGGGGGGTGTATCCACACCTGCTCAACGAGCTTGTAAGTTGGCATATATCAAGATCAGGACTTCCTTCTGCATTCACCTGGGGCATGCACAGGGAGGAGAAGGCTAGGATAATCTAATCAAAGGGAGGGTTTTCAAATGCACATAGTCACTCTACCCCTGTGGATGACAGAAACTAGAATCAATCAAGACTGAAAGCAACATTTTGAAGTTAAGTATGTACAATTCCAGGTTGGTTTGTGTGCAGGTTAGTGTGTACACAGCCTTATGTTATTGAGAACTTCGTCATTTACCTTGCTGTGTGAACAAGAGCTCATGCTTATCTTTATTTATTTATCTATTTCATAAAATTTATATACTGCTTGATTGTAAAAAAACCAACCAACCTGCAAAGCAGTTTACAAAATGTACTTTAATTTTGCATAAATGCTTTTGGCAGCTATGACAAAACAATTAAAGGGCTATGATCTGGAATAAGCAAAAAATCTCTCTCTCTAGCCTTAAGTTTCTATTCTAGAGAATTTAAAATTCCTTTTGTTATGATCTTCAGTAACAGACACATCTTTGAAAAGGTCTGGAACCTGGTGTATCCAAATTATGATAATATCAAAAAGCTCTTAATTCCCTAGGTATGTTATTTAATGCAGCAAAATTTATTTCAGTACACTACAGTTAACTGTTAATTAAGCAAACAATCCTAAAATTAATCAAATGTGGTTAAGTGATGAGTGTCTTTTTATTATAATACAGCTACTCTAATTAGTGAAATCTGAAATCTTAATTAACCATACCAAAGGGACACTTATCATTTTTATCCGCAGATCATTCTGTCATGTGGGACTAATATGCTTCAAAGCTTCAAATACCAACACAATTCAGCTGCTGCCAATATGACTTAAGGCCTTCTTCTCTGATTATGAACTGGTTTGCATATCACGCTAAGCCAAACCATGGCTTAGGCTGCAGGCATAGGCAAACTCCAGCCCTCCAGATCTTTGGGACTATAATTCCCATCATCCCAAGCTAACAGGACCAGTGGTCAGGGATGATGGGAACTGTAGTCCCACACATCTGGAGGGCCGGAGTTTGCCTATGCTTGACTTAGAGAGAAATCATAGGCTCCAGGAAAGGAGCTCCCTGCCCCGTTGCTCCTTCCTGGTCATTCTGCTTCTGTGCTGCACTGAGCTAAGTCACAGCTGGCCTAAGCAAGCTATCCGAACCTGACTTACAAAGTAATACTGAGCGGTAATCAAGATTTGTCCTATGGTTTACAGCTCATGTTTGTTTGGGGGAGTTAAATCACAAGCCCTGGACTGGATGATACACCAAGCCAAACCATGACTCTGCATAGCCGCAGAATGACTGGGCAAGAGCACAGTGGCCACAATCTCTTTTCCATGAGCCTGCACGGGAGCACTTTCATGCTAGGCCATGGTTTTTATATACTGCATAGTGCAAATCAAGTAGTTCAGTTGTTTCTGTACTTACTGTGCCCCACCACAGAGCATCTGCATATGTAGAAAATTGAGCATTTGTATCTTTTTCAACCAGGTAGACGAGGAAAGATGAAAAAATCAATACTAAAAATCCTATGTACCAGGCGGTGATTAATTCCTATAGGATAAAAAAAAGAGAGAGTATTAAAAACAAGTATTTTGACAACCTATCTGTACCAATACCATTTATTGGAATATTTGTACTTGCATATTTTGTAGTTACTTTATTAGTTACATACAAAAAAAATCCTTGTATGCAAATTCTCCTTATACATTACAATGTATAATACTGTTTCAGGGCCAAGATGCAATTTGCTTCTTGAGATAAGCCTAAGAGGTTGGATGTGCTTGGCAGACCTCCATGCCATCACAAACTTTTTAAAAATTTCTCCTCCATCTCAAGATGCTTGCTATGCAACTTGGCTTTGCTGTTCAAGAAACAAGGGACCAAAGCCCCTTTGGAGAAGCAGAATGGGTTGCATGGTTCTTTGGATTATGACTATGTTAAAGTGATTAACAGAGCAGAGATACTGAAGTCTTAAAAGTAAAATGTTTCAGCTTCCTCTGCTCCAGTGTCAAAGGGGACTGTAGCCAAGATGGCAGCATTCAGAGGTGTGGCATCTGCTGTAGGTAAGTGATGTGAAGTATTATCTTCTAGGACGAGGGCATGGGGTGTTGTTTATATATCCATATGTTTTCTCTAATGTTTTTGGATCAGAGGGTATCTCTAATTGCAACAGCGGACAAGTCAATGCTGCCATGATTTTTTTCAGTAGTTTTTAATTACCTGGAGACTCATGTGGAAGGTGATTCATAAATTAAGAAAATGATAAAAATAAATGAGAAAAGCTTATGTCATAAGTTTGTTAGGTGCCATAAAACTCTATGTAGTTTTTGCTGCAACATACTGACACCACGATTACTGTGGAAATTGATAAATCAGAGAGGCAGTGATAAGCTGAACTGTTCGTTTTTTCTCACTGATTGGGAACACTTTGCATAGGTCAGCTATTCACACATACCAGGGTGGTGAATGTTTTCTGGTCGGGAAGTCAGATAAATATCTCTCCAACCCTTATTGCTTACTTATATTTGACTTGTATCTTTGAGTGTTAGTTGTGCATCTATCTTGTTAGCCATACTGATGTATCACAGTTTTATATTTGCAATCACAATCAAAATGTTGCCAGGCCAAATTTGAAAGGTAGGCAGGTCCTCTCACCTGTCAGTTACCTGTTGTCAATATGAATACTGGGACCTCAAAGTGTAACATGGACTGTTAGAAAGCCCTTTTGCAAGCAGACCCATGTTGCTCTTTAACCTGTCAAAAACTGAAAGTCAAATAGCATCCCAGGGTTGCTTGCAAAACCTGACTGCTCTGATTTTCAGCTGGGCTGTCTGAAAGACCTCTTGCAAGTATTCCTGGGCTGTTCTTTAAACCCCACCCCCCAGTATAGTTTAAAGAGCCATGGATTGCTTAGTTAGCCAAAGGCCTGGGGGAAGAGGATTGTTTTTGCCTGGTGCCTAAAGATATGTAATGAAGGCACCAGGTGGCTTCCCACCAGGTGGGGATAGCATTCCACAAGAGGGTGGCTACCACAGAAAAGGCTTGCTCTCATGTTGTTACCCTCCGGACCTCTTGTGGAGGAGGCACATAAAGAAGGGCCTCAGATTATGATTGCAGGGTCTGGGTCAGTTTATATGGGGAGAGGAGGTCAGAACCAGCACTTTGTATTGCGCCCAGAAATTAGCTGGCAGCCAGTGCAGTCGGGCCAGGATTGGTGTAATATGCCCTGGTGAGCAACATGTTCCAGCATGGGAATGGAAGCACACAGCCAAACTGAGCAGGGCTACTTTGGCTGTGTGGGCCAATTCCCAGCAGGGCAACTTGGCGCAGCCATTGCAGAATGGAACCCCCACCCATCAGCTGACATCAGCCTCCATCAGAGTGGCACCAGTTCATTAGCAGGTGGTTTTTGAGAAATGGCCTCACAGGTTATATCTGACCCCATACGGAGGTGAAGGGTCCCTAACCGAAATATACACACAAATGTGAATGGTCAATGTAGAACAAAAACCACTGCTACAGGATTATGTCTTTCCTTTTTCTTTTTTTAGCATGAAATACATGCATGAATGACTGACAAAATTCAGAGAAGTGAAGGATATGAACAGGCCCTTACCTTGCTATGTGCATAAACCACTGAACCTAACAATTTCCAGGTTCCTCCTCTTCGGTCCATGCGCACCATGCGAAGGATCTGTAGGAAACGAAGACTTCTCAGTGCTGATGTTGCAAAAATGTTACCCTGAGTTTTTGCAGAAACAACTGCTATTGAAGCGATGAGAACAATGATGTCTGAAAGAAATACATTACAAAATACATTAATGTACGCATATGGACCAGTGATAGCTTGATAGCATATTGTCATATGCTGGGTGAACTGGATGGCTTTGCATGTTAAGAATATTCTTTAAGAGTCTTTATGCTGAAAGAAAGTGAATTGTAACAACAACATCCGTATAAATGCAAAAAATACAATACTATAAAATGTTGCATTGACCAGTGCTAAGTTCTATCAAAAGAAATGCCCCTTTACTCAATTTACAAGAATACACAATTTACAAGAATACACAATTTACAAGAATACATAATACACAGTCATCTTACCCAAGTTCTTAGACAGCCTCCAGTTATTTCAGGCATGTGCTCTACAGTCCTCATCTAATTTGTGTGTGCCAATTTCATGGGACCAAATTTTTAACTGAAAAGGATCTAATATAAGTCTTTCTCACTAAAAGTTCTAGCTCACATACCTAGTATTGGGAACATTAAGGGAGTTTTCAACAATGCTTAATTTTTTGTTTTGATCTATGGGTTGGTTTGTTTTTAACTTGCAAACGTGTATGTATGTATTTTTTATTTATTTGTAAGTTGCCCTTCACCCAAAGTTGCCAGGACAGAAGATTCATTTACCTTAAAAACCATAATTAGCAATATATGAAATTAGAGTAAATAATAGATTGCCCAGTAAACACCACCATCATCAGGAATAAAGTAAAGCACACTCTCCATCCACAATGTACTTTACCCCACTCCAATGTTTGAAACAGGTACATCTTCACTAATAGGCAAAATAATGTTGAAGCTGGGCACACTTCGAATGGGACATAATTCCATAAGTGTGGTGCCAGAGCAGAGAAGGCCCTCCCATGTACCCCCATGCTTTGAACCTCACTCAGCAATGGGATCACAAATGGGGCCTCCCCTGCAGATCTCAATACACAGCCAGGTTGGTATTGGTGGAAGCATCCTTGAATCGCAAAATAATTGGCAACCAGTCAAATTGTAATAATTTGAAGAGTAGCTATTTAATTGGAAGAGCGCACTCTTTTCTGTTCCTGTTAATAGATGGAATTGTTAACAATACATTTGCTCCCTTTGGCTACCCCTTCACTGAGAATAATCGGGAGCAGTGATAATAACTGAAAATGCACCACAGGGATGGAATCATCATGCTGATGCAATAAATTTATAACAGCAATTCGTGTATTAGATTAGCATTCTGCTGACATACTAGCTTTTCATTGGCAAAGCTTTTATGTAGGAAGGTACAATTCCTTCATCTGAAATTTGAAAGTCCAGGAAAGGGTGTATAGCATGCTTTGCTTATATATTTGAATCATTTTACTTTCCATTAGATTAGCATCTATTCCAGTCTCAATCTAAACCCACTGACATGGGAGTGACAGCTTAATCTTATGTTTATCTACTTAGAAATAAGTCCCACAATGCACAATAGGGTTTACTGGTACTTCCTAGTAAGTGTTTTAAGATTTGCCAGTGTCATATTGGGAAGCAAAATGCTGTATTTATTAGGACAAACTAATGTTTACAATACAGCATGTGAGCTTTTGAGTTCACAGTACAGTGGTACCTTGGGTTACATACGCTTCAGCTTACAGACACTTCAGGTTACAGACTCTGCTAAACCAGAAATAGTACCTCAGGTTAAGAACTTTGCTTCAGGATGAGAACAGAAATCGTGAAGCGGTGGCGTGGCAGCAGCAGCGGGAGGCCCCATTAGCTAAAGTGGTGCTTCAGGTTAAGAACAGTTTCAGGTTAAGAACGGACCTCTTGAACAAATTAAGTTCTTAACCCGAGGTACCACTGTATTCTATTTCAGACTAGATGAACTGCCACATGACTATTTGTTGATACTAATAAATTTAATATTTTACTGATGTTATGAATTTGTTATAATGGACCAGTGGAGCTATCTGATTTAATATATGTCCATGGAGCTTACTTCCCTGTATGCACACCAGTTCTAGCCACATTTCAAATCATTTGCACCTTTCCCCAAGCAAAGTGTTGATAATGAAAAAGCTACCTGTTTTGTTATCTTATAGGCAGGGCAATGGACCTGTTATTGCCATGTCCTGAGTTTCAGATGCTTTATTGTAGCTGCTTCCCTACCCCCCCCCCAAAAAAAAATATCTATGGGACTATTTAATCATGTTCTTAATGAAGCCCTGAAATGGGAATGTTTTCTGTGGTAAGCTACCTTTCCCTGTGCCGATTCTGGAATTTCACACAAGATCCACTTATCCCAAGTGATTCCATAATTCAGAGGTTACCAAAGCAGCAGAGTCACATTGCTCTAATAACCTTCTCACTGTCATGGGAGATGGCAGCCAACTCTTGAAATACAACCCTGAAACTGGCATTTAGATTAAATTTAGAGCTTTCGCATGTCCTGAAAAACTAAAAGTGGCTGGGGTTTGTTTTTTTTTTTTGGGGGGGGGGGCAAATTCTATGCTATTTCTAGATAAAGATCAAATTCAATGGGAGCAGAGGTAGTAAAAATTGTTCCAAAGAACCTTTCAATGCAGACAGTCGTACACTGGTGTGCTTGTAGATGAGGTTATTGTGGTCACAGAACAAATTCCACATGTGGAATAGAACCTCCCCTCCCTCTCCTCTCCCAGCAACCCCCCCCCCAAAAAAAAGCTCTGAATGCCTGGGGGAACCACTAGGGCAGATATGGAAAGGTAATATAAAAAAAAGTTAAACAAGATTTTAAACCAGCATTTAACAGGCTTTTCATCCTTCTGGAATCTGAATTTACCCCACAGTTTTAACTATTATTTTACACACAACCTACTGGAAAAGTCACAGCTAGTTTGAATGTTGTGTGTTGGCCTTTTCATAGCTTGAATTATAGAGCTATCTCATTGTGTAGTGCAGTGTTTCCCAACCGGTGTTCCGCGGCACACTAGTGTGCCGCGAGACGTTGCCTTGTGTGCCGTGGGAGGGAGGCGGGCGAGTCAGGCGGCGAGAGGCGGGGCGGCGGCGAGGAGCTCCCTCCCTCCCACATCCCATCGCCGCTCTGCCGCACGCTAGCTCTTGACTGCTCTTGCCGCACGTATAGACGTGTCTTATTTCCGCCCTGGAGGAAGGAGCAGGTCAAACGCCCTACAGAACCTGCAAGTTGCGCCCTGCGTGTCCATCTACCCATTTTAAAGTCTATGGTGCCATCCGGCTTCTGCCCTCCCGAAGTCCTCCTCTGTTCTGAAAGAGCGCTCACTTCCGGGTTCTGTCTGGCCGTCTTCCTCCCGCTCTGTGGTTGGCTGGGAGCGGCCTGTGCGCGACAATAACAGCAGCATCATGGCCGGCATCAAAGGTAGCGCCGCTGTGGCGGTTCTGAGGGGTGGCATGGAAAGGGCCTGGGAGCAAGGCGGAGCGGGGGGGGGGTCTTCCGTGCCAGGCCCGGGAAAGGACGTCGCCCCTCTGCCCTGGCGGTGACATCCCAGCCTTTGTTGTAACACTGGACGACCTCCTCGGCGAGGAGCGAGCTCCCTCCCACATCCCATCGCCGCTCTGCCGCACGCTAGCTCTTGACTGCTCTTGCCGCCCTTGCCGCACGGCTAGGCTAGGCCGGCCTACTGGGCTGTCGCAGGCGGAAGGCCTGCGCATGCGCGAGGTTTTCGCGCCTTCGGGATTCCCTTCACGCCTTCCTCCTCCCGGGGCCTTGAGAGCGCGGGAAGCGGCAGCGCGAGACCGGCGTTGAGCCTGGTAGGTATTGCGCTTGCCAAGGCAGTCATTTGGGAAATGAAAACTTGCAAAGCAAGCAACCAGTTCAATCTGAAGTACGTGTATGCTTAATATCCTGTATCTGAAACCTGTTCTGCCCCCTCCCCCACACTTGGTGCCATTTTGCAGACTGTCTACTGAAACGTCATACTTTTCTCAGCTTAAATGTTAATAAGGCCTCATCTACACATGCAGCAGAGTAAGTTGACCCAGAATAGTACCAATTCAGATGGCAGATGGGAGAATGACAGTGCTGAATGCTTTCCCATGTAGAACAGTCCCTGCAAATAAAAACCTAGCATATTTGGAAGAGGGATGCTAGCCTAACCATTACCTTCTATGCTGTTACTATTTTTTTATTTTTTTTACATAAGTAAAAAGTGACCTTTCCCCATCTGGCATGGTGGTGTGCCTCGAGATTTTTTTCATGAAACAAGTGTGCCTTTGCCCAAAAAAGGTTGGGAAACACTGGTGTAGTGGGCTTGACTACTCTGAGCAGACCTAGGGATTGTAAACCAATAGACTTTTAAGCCTTGTTCTAAGGGCAACTTGTGTGTGGGGTGACTTTGCCCAGCAGCATGGGGCCCAGAAAGCAGTGTGTGTGTGTGCGTGCGCGCGCGCGCCTGTGTAATGCTGCATCTCTTTGCAACTCTTGTGAGGTCTCGCAGAATGCTGGGCATCCTGCATGATTTTGGGAGATGCAAGAGGAGCCAAGAGCTTAAAAGGCCTCAGCCATGAGGATTTGTGGCCATTTTGCCCTACAAGCTTCCCACTCACCTGCTCTTGGTGCAAGAGCCTCACTGAACTAACTACCCGGGTCACTGCTTTACAAGGCCAGAAAGAAGTTTTTTCCTTCCCAACTGGAGTTGGCCCTCAGTTGGAGTTTTTTCTGCCTTTTCCTCAGTGACATAAAGCTTTGCTTACATTAGGTGCTGAGATAATTCTGTACTTTTGTGGGGCAAAAACTGCATAGGTCAAGATCAGCATAGTAAAGGGGCTCCCATAAGGGGCCTGAGGAAAGGGTTGACTAAGGCATGCTACCTGGCTGGAATTTTTCACCCTGGCCGCCCAGTGAGAACCTGGATGCCTGGCTTGCACCACACCAGGGTTCAACGCTGGGTGATCACCTCAGATGGGCTGACTGGAATGAGGCAGTAATCCTTGCCTTACTGCCATGCCAACCCTGCTACCCTGCTATAATCATTAAAGTTTCAACCTGATTTCACCCATCACTGCTGCCCTGTTTCAGTTATTACACCGCT